AAATTTAAGAGAAAAAAAGGAAAAGTACTCATTACAGAGAATGTATTAATCGTATAATGAAATTTATAACAAAGTTTAATATACTTGTAGCTCATGTAAAAGATTGGTATTTATAGCATATATTAAATAGAAATACGAGCTTAACCACCAACTAGAACGAACAGTCCGCTTTCTATATCCATCTTCAGAGGAAAGCTGAAAATTCAAGAGATCTAGAAATTTCAACTTAATGATTTGCTTACGAAAACGCAACATAAAAACGAGAGGCTTTTAACGAGACTTAAAAAATGAGAAACTTAATGAACATATGCAAACAGAAATCCATAAATATTTCAAAATATTTTCAGTTTCGAAATATTTTTATGATTGTCTAGTTTTCCCTAATTTAAGCCTAATAAGAGCGCCAGTGGTTTAAAAACACGGGCCTAGTTTGTGAAGTTGAATACAATTTGTCCTACAACTAATATATCTCTAGTGATAAAAAAACATAGCCGTGTTTGTGAAGTTGAATACAAATTGGCCTACAACTAATATATCTCTAGTGATAAAAAAAACATAGCCTAGTTTGTTTTGTTTTGTCGTTCTAGCTTCACACAATTTGATCTAAGCCTAATAAGACCGACAGTGATTTAGAAACACGGGCTAATTTTTATATTCTGTAGTAATATCATCCTGACATAAGTACTGATCTAATAATATATATATCCTAAAAACTTCCAGATAATAAATAACCTGTGGATTGTTTTGCTGAGATACTTCAGGTGTTTTAAATTAATTTCTAGGATTCTTTGTCCATCTTTCTTGACATATTCTTTCATCGCACCTGACAGCTGGAATAGAATCTATTATAAACCTATCAAATGCCACTCGGAGAGTTTATCACTATAAGAAAGAACTCACACAGCTTAATCTTATGTTCTGAACACTGCAAGACATTTGGCAGGAGAACTGAATACTTGAATACGAAGACATTAATCATAAATGTCAAAATGAGTGGTGCACACTTGACTTTTATTCAGCTTTCGTGGAGTAGACGTTTATTAATTTAGCCTTATAAGTTTTTTTGTTTCGATAACTTCGGCACGGACTATGCGATAAGCTACAAATAGCAAACATTCAAAACTAACCTAATAGGAAACCGAAAATTTGACTTATTTCTAATTCAGTCTGCTCGTGCGAGTTTTCTAGTCATAAGAGAAAGGAAGATAGTAATGAGTTACTTTCAAGTCCTCAGTCCAACAACAAGAAATGCTCGTCATAGGAATCGAAACATAGAGAGCCTTCAGAGCAGGAGGGTCCAATACACACTTCGCCCACCCCTTTTATAAACTTCCATAAATTTATAATTTTCCCAACTTGAATTATGTTTTTCCTTCCAAATAATGGCCCACTCTAAACAGATAATTATTCAAAAATTTCGGCAGCTGTAGATAAAGGGTATAAAAGGTAATATAAAGAGATCAAGGTAAAAAAATATGTCATTAAACTTGTTGTTTTTGAATTTATTTCACTTTGCTTTTTTCTTGACCCCCATTGCTTCAAAATATGCCCAAACTGCCGATCTAATTGTAAAACTTTTTCTGGGGAGCATGCAATCGACCATTCTAGTTTTTATCTGTTTTCAGAAGGCGCACTTCTCATAAATTTGATTCACTTCAAACGTTGCCCCCCAATATATTTTGCTTCTAATGCCTATGTTCATTTTATAGCTAAAACCTCGTATAAGTGTAGTAATGATGTAGTAATACCAGAACACATAAACCTGGTATAAATGTAGTAATGATTCAGTAATACCAGTACACATAAACCTGGTATAAGTGTAGTAATGATGCAGTAATATCAGTACACATAAACCTGGTATAAATGTAGTAATGATTCAGTAATACCAGTACACATAAACCTGGTATAAGTGTAGTAATGATGCAGTAATACCAGTACACATAAATCTGGTATAAGTGTAGTAATGATGTAGTAATCCCAGTACACATAAACCTGGTATAAGTGTATTAATGATGCAGTAATACCAGTACTCAGAAATCTGGTATAAGTGTAGTAATGATGCAGTAATACCAGTACTCATAAATCTGGTATAAGTGTAGTAATGATTCAGTAATACCAGTACACATAAACCTGGTATAAGTGTAGTAATGGTGCAGTAATACCAGTACATATAAACCTGGTATAAGTGTAGTAATGATTCAGTAATAATAGTACACATAGAATAGATATTACATGTGTTTTTCTACGTTCCTAACCCATGATTATGTGAATTTAATTATTATTTGAACGCAGTTGACACACACAGAAATAAAACAACCTGGTCAATTCATCTTATTTTCGATAGTCGTGTGATAGTGCCTGTCAGCTAGGATCCAGAGGTCCGGCATGGCCAGGTGGATAAGGCGCTCGACTCGCAATCTGAGGGTCGCGGGTTCGAATCTCCGTCCCACCAAACATGCTCACCCTTTCAGCCGTGGGGCGTTATAATGTGACGGTCAATCCCACTATTCGTTGGTAAAAAGTAGCCCAAGAGTTGGCGGTGGGTGATGATGACTAGTTGCCTTCCCTCTAGTCTTACACTGCTAAATTAGGGACAGCTAGCGCAGATAGCCCTCGTGTAGCTTTGCACGAAATTCAAAAACAAACAAACAAGCTAGGATCCAGAACTGTTGACAGTACCAGTAGTAATAGAAATTGTCTTCTCAATAATTCTTCAGACGCACCCCCTATGTTCATTTTCAACAAATAAATATGCATGGTTTTTAGTATTTTTTCCTGGTTTCTTTTTAGCGCAAACCTACACAATTGGCTATCTGCGTTCTGTTCACCGAAGGATTCAAACCTCGATTTTAGCATTGTAAGTTATCTATGTTACAATAGCTATTTAAACTCATGAGGTGTGATAGAAATATCAAAAGAAATAAGAAATTCAAATGAATCCTTTTAAGTTTTATCCCCCACTGAGTCAGCAGTAAGTTTACAGACTTACGACGCAAAAATTCGAGGTTTGATTCCATGTGATAGAAAGAGTGCAGGTAGCTAAAACAAATCATCTTCTAAATTGTTGTTGTCTTTAGCACAAAGCTAATCGAACCCATGGTTGCAGCACTATAAGTCCGTATTTTTACCGTTGACCCACTGTTGGACCAGCGCCCTCAAAGACAGGGGTTCTTAAACAACCCCCTCCAGAATATTCTACATTCCAATTAAGGTACGGTACCCAGTGAGTCATTAGATATCTCAATTAACAGCATTGTATTCTTGTTCATCTACTACGACATTCATACACTTTCCTGTATGATCTAAAACACACTTAAGAACATTCTTTACCTTTTTTTTCCTCATCCTGATGAATCATAAGAAGATTAAATTTACTTTGATTTACTCTCTACTGTAGACCAGTTTGCAGAAAGGAATTATAACGCTAAAAACCGGGTTTCGATACTCGTGGTGGGAAGAGCACAGATGACCCATTGTATAACTTTGTACTTAACTACAAACAAACAAATAAAATCCGAAAGAAAAAAAGTGCAAACATGTTTAAACAAATAATTATGACTCTACTAAGGAGCAAAAGCTTACCAATTACTACCATTTTGTTTATCAGTACGCATTGTTTTAATATGTCTTTATTAACCCTAAAACAGCGGATTGATCGTAGAGAAATTGCCATATTTTGGAGGAAATTTAGAACAAGGGAGAATTCGCTAGAAATTTCTGAAGTAAATCTTTGCATAAGCTTAAAGTTCGATTTCTTGCTTCGAAAATCCCAAATGTTGTTTTGGTGTTGTCGAAAAGTATTTCCAAAGCAAGGCTACATTCCATTTGGATCTAGATTTGCACTGTAAAAACGAATTCCACATGTTCGTGACGTCTAGAACATTTTGCACATTTAGAAACTATAATAAACATTATTCATCTCTTTTGTATGGTTTTCGTTGGTTTAGGTTTGTCATTAACTGAATGATCTGAGACAATGAAAGTTATTACAACAAAATATATTATTCTTGTTATTCCTTCTGCTTCTCAGTTTTCTCATTTTCTTTAGTGGGATTCTAACGTTTCTGGACGATCTCTTTCTTTCTAAATGCTTTAACTTCAACATCCTCTCGTGACTGCACCCACAACATTCGTAATTTATATAAACATATAGAATTAAAAGGAGTACAAAGTTAAAATAATTGCACAATAAATGAGTTATTAAACACAGGGACCACCTCTAAAAATGACTCCTACATGTTTCGGCGTTCTTACTCCTTAAGATTGTGGAATTATTTTAACGTTGTATTCCTTTTAATTATATATATATATATATATATACATAAGACTAGGGTAAACATGACTCTGGACATTCATATATATTGACTAATTAAGCACTAAAACAGGTCTTATGTAGGTAAATTACTTTGCAAGAGCCAATGGACTTTCACCAAAAGAGGTTACAACTCTTTTTTTTTTTTCGAACGAAGCTTTCTCTGCCAGAAGTAGTGAACTCATGAGCACAAAAGTTACATTGTTAGAAAGTTGTTAAACTATATTATCACTGAAAGGCAATGTGTTATTTATTGTTTTCCTGATATTGTTATGATTAACAAAGTCATTAATTTTTGTACAATCGACTCCCGATTTTAGGAATAAGCATATTTAAAACCTAATATAAAACACACACACACACACAACAATAATAAACACAAGCTCTAACTTATTATTTCAAACAATCGTACTGATTTAATTCCTACCGCTTAAGGTCGCTCAAAACAATAGAAATCACCGTGAAACAATATCGTGACGTACTGGTGATATCCTTTAATCATTTATGTATCATAAAACATAAGTATATAACCGTAACATGTACGATTTATATATACAGTTACGTAGTGCTCTACACTATCAATAGATGGCAGGACAATCAGAAGCCCCCTACCGGATAAATGTGTAATAGATAGCGAAGGTAGCGTGTGCTGGTTAGTTTATCAAGGTGAATGGATCGGTGGGTCAGAAAGCTCGAAGTACACTGACTCAATAACGGTCATGTGTTTAAAGTTAAGGAACCTACCATTCTAATATAGCATCCGCCAACAAAGTGGATTAGAGAAAATACTGTCTTATAATGTATAAAGGTAAGGTTTTTCCATTTAAAAATTTTAGAATCGTTTCATTATAACGCAGGTGTGAGGAAAGTTATTGGACTCGTAAACGTGAAGCCAGAGAGAGAGAGAGAGAAATGAACCGCTAGAAATTTATCTTGTTTATATGGACATAGGTTTGGCATAGGACAGTGGGAAACGGCAAATATCAACATTCCCTGGAAAACAGACGCAGAAACACGGCTCATAATTAGTACGTTAAGTACGATATTCATTGCCATATGACATTAAAATAATATGTGGGATATTATATATGATGAGAGGGTTTGAAACAATCAATGTGTAGTTGGAAACACGGCTCATAATTAGTACGTTAAGTACAATATTCATTGCCATATGACATTAAAATAATATGTGGGATATTATATATGATGAGAGGGTTTGAAACAATCAATGTGTAGTTGGAAATTGATTAACTGCTTAGCAATGCAAATTAAAGCACACGAAACAATTTAAAGAGCTTGTTCAGTTGATGATGTTAGGGGGGCAGTCTTGTACAACAAAGATTAAATAATTAATTACGAAAGAAACCCTGAAACTACTTTAGCTTGCTTGGCACTGTAAAAATGTAGTTCCGTGAAAAAAAAAATCACAGCGTTTGATATTTTATTTGACAAGACAGAGAAAAATAACTCTAATTTTGTTGATGATAATCTCAAGACGTAAAAAAAAAACAAGTCAAACAACATTTCCTTTTTAAAAAATTGCGGCCATAGTTTATTCTTACCCCTCCCCTCCAATGTAGTTATTAATTCTAAGAATCTTACAAGTATATGTTATAATATGTTATTACATCTGCTATATCCGGTGCCGACGAGACCTTTCGTCCAATACCAGGGCCCATCAGGCCGGCTGGAATATGATAAGATTATTCACAACGTTTGATTAATAGACAGTAAAAAAAATAATAACTTGTATTTTTCTAAACTGTAGTTAGGTAAGTAAAAGAGTTTAGATCGGGGTGTTAACTTTTCTTAATCCTAAAATATTACCCATGGGGAGAGCTCGCGCTTGTCATAGCTCAGTTTGGACAGGCGATAAGGTTAAGATGAACAAAGCTCAAAATAATATAGTACTTGTCAAAAAATAAGGGTGAAGTTGTGAAGGTAATCAGTAATTTTTATATCTCAGGGTGGGAGAGGACGGGAGAGTATGTTTGTTTTAAAGCTACGTCGAGCTATCTGCTGTGTCTACCGCGGGGAATCGAACCCCGGATTTTAGTATTGTAAGCCCGTAAACTTACCGCTTTCCCAAGAGGGTACATAAGATGACAGTAAGGCAAACAAGATAACGTTTTTTTTTGTAGTTGTTGTTGTTTTTTAAATAGAGTAATGGGTGGCGAGAGATGAAGGTGAGATAAATAACGTACAATATAACTTTAAAACTAAGAGCGGATAAACAAAAATGAGGGTGAAGTGGAGAACGTATGCATCATTATTTTTTCTTCGTTTCTCTAATTGTTTCTGTTATGTTAAGAAATACTGGTTAACATCATAATTTTGGATATCACTTAAAGTTGTGTTTGTTTTTTTTTTTTCATTTTTAATTCTAATTCTACAGTAAGTGAATTCAGAGATTCCTTTTCAAACTTCCTGCTCATTGAAATAAACGGGTGAAGTTGTAATCTGTTTAGCTCTTTAAGTATCCATCTGTACTGATACCATTAAGTTGACATTTTTTTACGTTAAAGGTGCTGTGGTAGAGTGCCTCTTCAAAGCTTTTCTTCTTTTAGGTTCTGTTCAACTTTAATTTTTATAATTAACACTAGCTGAGCTGTTCATATTTTCTCTCTTTTTCTAAAATACTTGTCTCTTAAAATTGCATTACAGCTGCTAGATACCCTTTCCTTGTTAATCTTCTATCTACAAATTGTGGTCAGTGATTTCTAGAGGTCTTTCCAGAATTTATCTTAAATTCGAATAAGTTTGTTTGTCTTTAAGTGACGTGAGAAGTGTTTTTGAGGTGTGTCTTAAAAAACAACAATATTTCTTAAAAACAATAATACAGCATTTAAAACAATATTTCATAAAAGCAATAATACGGCATTTAAAAATGATATTTCTTAAAAGTAACAATACAACAATAAAGATAATAATACTATTTCTTAAAACAATAATACAGCATTTAAAACAATATTTCATAAAAATAGTAATACGACGTTTAAAAATGATATTTTGTAAAAGCAACAATATAACAATATTTTCTTAAATCCTTGATGAAGATTTAATGATCAAGGTAGTTCATAACGAGTAAAATGTTTGAGGTTATTTTTCCAGATGATCGTGTCTTTTGTAAGTTTTAAATGAAATGCCTCATTCAGATATCTAATTTTATTTATCCATCTGAGTAAGGCATCATTAAGATGTACCTTTATTGTATGGAACAAATAATATATGTTATCAGGTACTGTATCTTTCTGATCGCCTAACTAATTTATTATTCAGATGTATCTTTGTTGTGTGAAACAAGTGACATGTGTTATTAGTGTTGTACCTTTCTCATCAGTTAAATTATGTTTTGTTCAGACGTTGCACTAGGAAAAGGCTAATATTGGGTTAATGTATTTACTTTGACTACAAACAAGCAATATTATGAGATACTGTACCTTCTTGTCAGACAACTAATGTCTTATGCCTTACTCAGTATTACACATCTCCTGAATTTTATTTCCCAAACCCTCTTAAAACACTATCTTAAAACATTATCTATATCAAATGTGCTCTAGTTTAATAATGGCTCCAAGTTTTCAAAATCTCCACCTTTCCATCTATAACACTTCTCCTAAGGGTCAGATAACTACATCTATTTTTAAGTATGACGTTACTTCACAGATTTTCTCACTACTTGGATATATATACATATTTTAGAGCAATATAATTGTGTGTTTCTACAAGAACAATATGCTGTTAAAATATCGACAAGCATAATGTTTAGTTATTGATACTGAGAGAATTGAAAATGTCATATTTGTTCACAATGTTTAGAAAGAACTAACATACTTACTGAAAAAATAATTTCGGAAACTTTCAGGGAAAAGGGCAGAACAAGGCGGGTGATTTTCAAGACAAGATGAAAGTGTGGAACGTACTAGGACTGTCATTTCTTCTGTCAGCTCTGTCTGATAGAATAGTGTCAAGAAGTGAAAATATCCTAATTCCTCACGATGTCCATCCTGGCTATTCTATCAAAAAGTACTCATTTAACGGACAAGCTTTTAGTATACTTGACACCAACGCTCCAGAGAATTTTGTTGTCCTAAATAACGGCATCCTAATGTTAACATCGGATGTTTCTCATAGAGTTGGGCATCCTATTCTCCTTGTTGTCAAGGAAGAGTACCACAACGTTACGATAAAGAATGATCTTGTGATACATGTTAAACACAGGAACAATATCTTAAAGTTCGACAAAGACTTATATTCGGGGAGCATATTCGAGAATCTTCCTTGTGGAGCTACAGTCCATGGTATGGAAAACATAATCGCTTCCGGTGGAGTAAATAGCCACGTTACTTATAGCATTTTGTCTGGAAATTATAACAATTCTTTCAGAATCACTCCATCTTCCCTCAACAGGACAACAGCTGTCGCTGTCGTGACTAATCACCCTCTGGATCGAGAACAGTTAGCCTCATACGAGTTAGTGTTGCGTGTAGTCGATGAATTCGAGGTCGATAGCGCTGAAACTGTCCTCCATGTTGATGTACTGGATGTCAACGACAACGCACCAATTCTAGAAAAGGACTTCTACGATTTCCAAATACCAATGAAAACCGAACCTTTTTCTTTAATTGGAAACGTCAGTGCCATAGACAAAGATGGCGACCACCCTGTTTATCATTTTTGTAATCGTCATTCAAAGTTTGTCATTGTACCTAAAAGCGGCCAGATTTTTCTGACCGGAATTCTTGAGCCAGAAACGTACCAGTTATGTATTCGAATCCACGATAACCGTAGTCCTCGATTATACAGCCGAGACTTTCCTTTATATGTCACGGCGTTCTCCTCAGAACAGATTTCTGAAAAAGAACCCTTATTTGATGTAATAGAATACAACACAAAGTCTTTGGTACGGCCCAAAAGGTCTGTAAGGCCAACAAAAAGCTACGAATACAAGGAAAATGATGGAAGTATTATAGGACAAACCATGTTCCAGCTGGAGAAAAGAGATCCCCAAGAGATATTCCAAGTCGAAAGTTCCAACCAATGGGTTCAAGTAGACAGATTAGGTGTCATCAGAGTTAAAGAACCTTGGAATTATGAACAGCTTGGAAAAGAGAAAACTATTGACTTTTGGGTGTTTGTATCCAGACCAGGTGTTCCAGGTAAGATTATATTTTCAACATAAGATTTCATTCATTTTCAAGATTATATTTTTTAATATTAACTTTTATAATTAGGATTATTTTGCCGTATCTGTAGTGTCAATGTTTCATGTGATATTTTAATGAAGCATTTTTGAACGCCATTGTTTTTATATTATTCTTTTCGAGTTTGTTCTCTTCTTTTAAACTTCGCTCATGCAGAAAAGTTCACGCGTTCATCAACGCCGACTCTCGTGTAAGCAAGAAAGATGTCTTTAAATTAATACAGCAGGATTAATACTAGTTGGTACCCTGCAGTAATTAATTCCAAACTTTCAAAGTTTTTCTTTCCTCTACATAGAAAATAAATGCAAGTACCATTCGTCCAAATACGTAATGTATATCATTAAAGTTAAAGATATCAGAGAAGTGAAGACTATTAATAAATGCTGACGTTTGAATAATCCAGGAAATCTACTCAAATTAATGACTATTACCTAAACTGCTACGTGTTAATCAATAGAGGTGACAAGTTATTTGTCCAGCTAGTTGAATAGACTGTGCTCTAACTTCATTAGCTTTGGAAATAGGTTTTCTTACGCCCATATACAACATTTATTTTTCTGTCATACATCTGTAGCTGTTTCGTAATATATACATTTAGGTTCCATAACAATTGTGTAATCTATTTTAAAGTGTGGTGGAGAAAACTGGATTTGTGGTAGTACACGCATTTCCCAATCCACGTGAATCTCAGTTATGGTATTTCGGTTTCTTATAAATGTTTAAAAGTGACAAAATGCTATACGTCAAATCGTATATCATACACAATTCTCACAGACAGAACTTGAACATATAGGTCCCGAAGATTGTCAAAAACTCTAAAGAAAGAAGGCAGTCGAACAAAGCAGATTCCAAGACATGATCTTGTCGATTGGGATGTACTGGATAACTTTGCAATGATCTGAGGGAAGAAGCATAGGCGTACATCAGGATGTAAACTGACTTAATGATATATCGGAAATAGGTTTTTCGCTGCTTTATATGCACCGAAATGCTCTAAAGATTTTTCCCATATACAACTAGTTGTGTCCATTTATTTGAGTCATTAAAACATGTCGTATTAGATACAATCAATAGCGCCAGTTTGCGTGGATGTTATAATATATATATCCTAGCACCATGAACGTCTTGGTATTATGATATTACGAAGTTTAATTAATATGGCAGTACTACACTAGTCTCCTGTCGACCTATCTTTATTGAATCCAAGCTATTCCAAAAGCAAAACAAATCATGAGTTTAACCTTATATCAAATATCTAATATTTTAATGAAATGAGTCACTTTTTTACTATAATTAAACTCTGCAGGATATCAATGCAAACACACACACACACACTAAGTTAGCCTATTAGAACCTCTGATAAAGAATTTTAAGATATTTTGTATGCTATTTTTAAATATATATTGCATGTGTGTAAAGTATTCATAACACTGTCGACATATTACGCAAAGTGTCCGAGAACTTCGAGATTGTTTTCAATATTATAACAGTTTCACTCTTTATTCGGCCCGGCTCGACTCGCAATCTGCGGGTCGCGGGTTCGAATCTCCGTCCCACGAAACATGCTCGCCCTTTCAGCCGTGGGAGCGTTATAATGTGACGGCCAATCCCACTATTCGTTGGTGAAAGAGTAGCCCAAGAGTTGGCGGTGGGTGGTGATGACTAACTACCTTCCCTCTAGTCTTACACTGCTAAATTAGGGACGGCTAGCGCAGATAGCCCTTGTGTAGTCCTTGTGGGATTCGAACCCGCGACCCACAGATTGCGAGTCGAGTGTCCTGGTCATGCCGGGCTCTTTTCTAAGTATAACGTAACAATATGAATTATAACATAGTAATTAGTGAATAAGATTAGTCTACTGTTAAATGAAATTATCATTTACATCAAAATATAATCCTTAACTCATTTTCTATTATTTTTCTCCGAAAATAATACAGTTTTCATTGAGCTCCGCTGTCATGTAAAAATATGATAGTGTGTAACAATCCATAAAAAATAATAACATTTCTTTTAAAGTTCCAATCAAATGTAAAACAAAAATAGTGTAACAAAAGATTAACACTTTTTATCCGTGATTTATAACTCTAAGTATAAGTTATTTTTTAACGCGAAAACTATACGGATGAAGGTTATATATATATATATATATATATACGATACTCCGAAAAATAATACGTGACAGTGTAGTAAGATATATTTTTATCTCCAATAAATACCTTAGATGTATCAAAGTCACACTTACGTCAGTCATACTGGTTAATGATATATCATCAAAACGAGATTCAGTCCAGACACTGGCCACGAGGAATCCGCACTGAAAACGCTACCTGGTTGTTTACTGAGTTAAAGAAAAACAGTTAAAAACGAGCACCAGTTCACAATAAGTTTTAGCTTTTTTAGTTCCAAATTATTAGTTCTGTGTTGTGTTGATAATACATTTAGTTATATTAACATATACTATGCATACTCTTTGACTTTTTACCTTCTTTCTCGGTTAGAACTGTACATGGAGGTTAGAACTGAGACGGCTGAACGAAGTGGCTTACCCACTTTACTATCAGCCACCAAATCCATTATGCTTCAGGTACTCAGTTAAACTCAGTTCTTGGTTAAACACATCAAATATGTACTTTCCTTACGGTTCAGATACTCAACTGAACACATCAGATACGCGTATTTTTGCATAAAAGCATTTATTAAAAACGTTATAATAAAAATTATATTTTACTTTGGAAATAAATGGAAAAGAATCGAATATCAGTTTCTTGATTTACTGTGGTCTCGGTTGATATAACGAACAATCCTATGCTGCTCGCCCTTGAGAAAAAAAAAGATTTGTTTTTCTGACATAGATACAATTTTCAGTCCGTTTCATAAAGCAGTGGGATAGTATTTTTTTTCAATAATACCATGATATTATCCAACACTGTATTCAATATGAATATTAAGTGTGCATAAAGATAGATATACATATAAAGCACGTGGATTATAACGTTCCAAGGGTTTCGATCACTGACCAGATGAGCGTTCTCCTCAATATTCTCAGCGTTGTATTCCAACCGAAAATTGGATAACGCGCTTGTTTTATTACACCTTCCAAGTTAATCATGTCAGCAGAAGGCAGCAGAGCACCAAGTTAAGGATTACACGCGTTCTATCGGTTTTTTTTATTGCCCTGTAGATGGTGTTCTACTGTGTTTCAACCATCTAAACGGCGCCAGAACTTACCTTAGGATCACCAAGTTTGTTTTAACCACGCATTTCGTAATGTTTGCGAAAACATAAACACTTATTTGTAAAGTCGTTATGTAAAATGTTGGTAAAGATAGCGTGAGATTTTTTTTAATATTTGCATAGCATAAGGCTATCTTAATACCTAAACAGCATAAGGCTATCTTAATACCTAAACAGCATAAGAATTTTTAATACTTACATACATATATACTATTTTAGTACACAAATAATATAAGATTCTTTATTACGTACATATATAGTGTTGCGTCATCGAGGTCACGTGACTAGTGTCACGCCACGTTTTCTAGAAATATCCTGTTCCTTCAAGAATGTGTTAGTCTTGTATACATATAAGACGGACACAACGTGGCGGGATCAGTGTAGTGAGTCTTTGAAATG